CTATTTTCTGGAGAAAATGAACCAAACGAACTATGCTTAAGAGCACCACACATAAAGGAGACCTTTGGTGAGATACCGGAATGACGACAGCAGAATTAGGTAAAAGTTTACAAAATGAACAATAGGACCTCGGCCCCTTCTTACTACTATCACCCAGCTCTAAAATGCCAGCAGCTAGGCTTACAACCCTGAACGCCCCCAAACACAGCCCCAGCTGAGAGACTGGAGCTGAAGTACCTCAGAGGTAAGACCTCAGGTTCTGACACTGAGCACCCCAATGAAAATGCCAGCTGTCCCTCCTCCAATTATCCAACAATGAGATACACCAAGTGACAAGCCCTACCTTCAGACACAGAGCACTTACTCAACTTCTTAAATTCATATTCTTCAATATTAAGAGAAAGCTGGGATCACCAGAAATTTTAGAGAAGCTTCCCACTCAATCAAGACAGCAAATTAAATAGAAATTAGGCACTCGTACTACATAGAGACAATTCAGGAAGAAAAAAACACTTTAAATAATGTTGAAAAAATAACAGAAGATATTCCATCCATAAAGCAAGGTGGCTAGAAGCAAGAAATAATAAGAAATTAAGAAAGAACTTAGGAAGTGAAAAATACAGTAGCCAAAATAAAGATGGCTGGGAAAATAAGGTTGAAAATCTTTCAAAAAAGTAGGACAAAATATGAGTAGGTGATGAAGACTAAGAAAAGTAGAGGATCAGTGAAGGATAAAGGAGAGAGTAAAATGGTGGAGAGAAAACAACAAAGTTAAAATAAAAACATATAAACAGAACTGAAGGACATAGTCTCCAGGCATTAAAAGCTCACCAAGTGCCCAGCAAAGAAAGAAAGAAAAAAAAAAAGAATCCACCTCAAAGTGTATCATGGTAAAATTTTAATACCAGGAATAAATGGAAGCTCCCAGCAAGGAAAAACAGGCTACATACAAAGGATTAGGAAAAAGAAAGGCCAGACTTCCCACAACAGCATTAGAAATATAGATGACAACGGAGGGAAAACTTTAAAATTCTGAGTGAAAATGATTCACCCCAAAATTCTTCACCCAGACAACAACTTAGCAATCAAATGTAACAAAAAGGGGGAGGGGCTATTTCGTGAAAACGCCCCTGTAGCTACTGGAGGATGTGCTCTAACAAAATGAATAAATCATATCAAAGGTGTCTACAGACTCCAGAAAACAAAGGATCAATATGGAGAGAGGCTAATGGGATTCCCAGAGTGACAGCTGGGCAGCAGGCCCAGACAGCACCGGGTCCAGATTAGAGCCAGTGGACTAGGGCTCCCATACAGATGATTCCAGGGATTGGGGAAATGAAGCCAGGAGTTCATCAGATAGGGTGAAAAATCATACTGAGATATTTTGAACCCTTAGAGCTTGTGGGAAGCTAGATGCAGACTAAAAAAAACAAAACAAAACAAAACAAAAATAAGGCAATTATTAATTCCAGGAAAACCAATGTTGTACAAAAGAGGAAATACAATCATGAAACACCACTTGTGCCTCAGCAGCTAACAACACAGTCAGAATCATAACATGAAAATATCAACAAAGGACTTCACAATGCCTCCCTTACTGAGATAGCAAGTCATAAATAATGTCTCCGTTTGATTAATTTAAAATTAATGCCTTAAAATTACAGAGGTAAATACCAGAAGAAACAGCTAAAAAGAATTTTTAAGTTATTGCTCCTGGGAAGTAGCAGATTATTCCAGATACTGTTATTTTTTTGGTTACTAACTTTTCAATTTTACTTATGTTTTCCAATTATAATAAAAATAATTTGATAGACAGAAGTTATTCTTAATTTATTAGCTATGATTAATAACAATGGCTAACTTTTAGTGAACACTTACAGTTAGTTGCAAAGCATTAAGCTAAGAGCTTTCCATGTGTTACTCATGTAAACCTTGCCTGCAGCCCTGTAAGGTGATCGCTATTGCGTTAGACTGAACGTTTGGATCCCTGCAAAACTCACATGTTGAAACCTAACACCCAAGGTGACAGTATTAGATTTGGCCTTCAGCAGGTGATTAGGTCACGAGAGTGGAGCCCTCATGGGGGTTAGAGATGGTCCCTGACTTACAATCTTTCAACTTAGGGTTTTTTAATTTTACGAAGCTGTGATGGAAATGTGTATAATAAATCACATGAGATAGTCAATACTTTATTACAAAATAGGGTTTGTGTGACATGGTTTTGCCCAACTGTAGGCTACCATAAGTGTTCTGAGCACGTTTAAGGTAGGCTAATGATGTGCGGTAGGCAAGGTGTATTAAATACATTTTGACTTACAATATTTTCAACTTAGGATGGGTTTATCTGGACGTAAGCCCACTATAAGTCAAGCAGCATGTGTAGTGACCCTACAAGGGACCTAGAGACATACCTCATCCCTTCCACCATGGGTGGACACGGCAAAACGACAGCCATGTATAAACCAGGAAGCGGGTCCTCACAGGACACCGAATCTGCTGACGCCTTGATCTTAGACTTCCCAGCCTCTAGCACTGTGAGGAATAAATCTGTTGTTTCTGAGCCACTTGGTCTGTGGTATTTTTGTTACAACAGCCCAAACAGACGAAGGCACTATTATGATCACCCGATTTTTCAGATGACAATACTGAGGCTTAGAGTTAAGCAACTGGTCAAACACAGTCAAGATTCAAATTCAGGGGTGGCCAGTTAGCTCAGCTGGTTAGAGCGCAGTGCTCATAACACCAAGGTTGCCAGTTCGATCTGCACATGGGCCATTGAGATGAGCCCTCCACAACTAGGTTGAAACAGCTACTTGACTTGGAGCTGATGGGTCCTGGAAAAACATACTGCTCCCCAATAAAAATGAAAAAGATTCAAATTCAGACTGACTCAGGAACCTGAGGTCTTATTCCACACTGCCCTTCAATTTTTTTTTTTTTAAGATTTTTATTGGAGAATTGGGGGGATGGGAACAGTGCTGGGGAATGGGGGAAGGGGAACAGATAAGTTGCTGTCGTTTTGTTCTTCAGTCTAGTTGTGGAGGACGTTGCTTCACTGGCCCAAGTTGGCACCATCATTGTGCTCTTCCCGGGCGAGGCCGATCAGTCGCCGGCTTCTAAATGGCTGCTCACTGCGGCTGCTGGCCGCTCACGCTGGCTGCTGGCTACACACAGTAGCCCATGGCAACCCACTGCCACAGGGGCTGCAGCCTACACCGTCGCCAGCGACTCATGGCAGCCCAGCTCCAGGTTAAGCTGTTGTTCAGCATCTTAGCTGTAGAGGGCAGCGACACTGGCCCTCATATGTGGGATCCGAACCAGGGCCCTCTGGCGTCCCAAGCCAGTTCCCAACCATTGCGCCACTCGGCCGGCCCTGCCCTTCAATTTTTAAAGAGTTTATGTCCTATGCCATTCTAATAGGCACTGTTGAGGGGCCACACACCTGGTACACACATCACACACACACAACATCCTCTGGTGGGAAAAGAACTCTTAAGACAAATGGCTGTAGTCTGTCATCTAAATAAGCTCTGATTGGTGGTGTCTTTTTTCCCCTCTCTCTAATATTCTAGAATGGCTAAATAAAATTAAAGCTTTTGTTATTCAAATTTCAAGTGGAACCTTTTAGAACATAAAACTCCACTGAGAATCAAAAGGAAACAGTGTTTGTTGGCACCAAGCACCAAAAAACTAGGCATTGAAGTTCTGTGCAATGAACAGCTCCCAACAAACCCCCATGTACTCAAGAAATAAAACTTAAGGTTTTCATAGCACTCAAAGAGTTTTCCAGCTTCTTTTGGTGAGACTGTAAGAAATCCATGCTCATATCCATCGCTGGTGAGGATACAAATTGCTATAACACCTGGGGAGCCAATCTAGCCAAATTTATTGCAATCCCACTTGGGGAAATTTATCCTACAAATACACAGCACACAAAGAAATGATATATGCATCAGGTTATTCACTGCAGCACTGTTTTTATAATTGAAGATTGGAAATAACCCAATGGCCCATCAAATGGGGACTAATTAAATTATAAAACAGAATTAAATAGCATGTTATACCGTGGTTAAAAGGAGCATGCTTAAGGGCGTGAACTCTGCGGTTTAGTTTGGGGTTAAGTCTTGAGTAACAGGCAGCCCTGGGTCACAAAAATCCTTCCATTACAGTTTTAGGGATTTTGCCAACTGCTCATTTAGCACGGCCATTATTAAAAATTAAATTATATAAACTTACAACTGAATGATATTAGAAGCAAAAATAAATACACTCAAATTCACCACCTCCTCGTTATTTTACTACACTTCAATGTGATCTGTGCCCTGGACCAGGCTATAGAAGTCTATTGCATCTGCATGACGGAACTGTTCTATAATAACGTGTTACGGAGCATCTCTTCCTAACTCGTTGCTTATTCCGTGTCTTCACGTTGGCAACTTGCAATCAGCCATGGGAGGGAATATTTACACCTCAGAAATTGGCAAATGCTACAGACTGGGGCTTTTTATCTTAGAGAGCCATTTGTTACATTGTTATTTATCACCATCTATACTTCAGTTTTGCCATCTATAAAATCAGGACAGTAATAGCACCTACCTGATTGGGGCGTTGTGAGGATTAATTTGTTGTCATATATGTAAAGCATGAAGAATGCTTGGCATGCTGTAGTGTCAGTATAAAGGTTAGCTATGTTTTGAATGATTATTACTGGTGCAGAAGATCTTCAAGCTGTATTGTACCATTTTTAAAAAGCTCAGGGCCGGCTGAGCGGCGCGTTGGTAAGAGCTCTAGAGCTAAGATGCTGAACAACAGCTCGACCTGGAGCTGGGCTGCCGTGAGTCACCGGCGACGGCGTGGGCTGCAGCCCCTGCTGCAGTGGGTTGCCATGGGCAAGCACACAGAGATGCCATCTTGGAGGGGAGGAGCACACGTCTGCCCCTGGGACGTAAACACTTCAATCATGGTCAGGATGAGACGGAACGGCTCTTCAGGATACTTACCCTGTTGTGTACGGGATGTTTATGCCTCCTAGATTAATACTTTCACATCCAACAATAAACAGGGTTGAAAAACACAGTAAAGACACACCACTGCAGATCATTGCTAGTTTTGCAGATTCTCTTGCACCAAGTTTCAATTTTTTTATAATGTAGCCTCCCAGGACAATGCCAACACCGGCACTGGGGACAATAATAACACCTGGAGAGAAGAAGGGGAAAGGATTAATGTGAAGTAAGGTATGCTACTATTTGTTTTCTAATTACTCTGTTTCTGCTTAGCTATGAGTACTAAAGTAAGGAATAAAAAATACTGTGATCAAAATTGGCAGTTTTTAAAAACAGTCACGGGGATATAAAGTACAGCATAGGAAATATAGGCAATAATGTGGTAATAACTATGTATGGTGTCAGATGGGTACTAGACTTATCAGGAAGATCACTTCATAAGTTATATAAATGTCTAATCACTATGCTGTATACCTGGAACTAATATAATATTGTATGTCACCTGTAATTGAAAAATTTTTTAAAATATTTTAAAAATTATTTAAAAACTGCAATCAATAAATCTTCAATGTGTGTGATTTAAAGGATAATTTATTTTCAACACACGCAACCCACAAAGGACTCACTGCCAGAAAAACTTCCAAAGCAATAAAATAAAGGCAAGCAACCCACTAGAAAAGTAAGAGAAACTCGAATGGGCCCTTCACCAAAGAGGAAATCCAGTAGACCAATAAACACACAAAGGTGCTCAGCCTCGTTACTAAGAGGGAAATACAAATTTAAACCGCAGTGAAGTACACGCCAACACCAATTACATTGGTAGAAATTTTAAAGTACACATGTTGGCAAAGATACGCAGCAATGAGCACTGTCTACACTGCTTATGGGAAGCAAACTGTGACACCTACTTTGAAAAACAGTTTGGCGTTATCTGATACAGCAGAAGATATACACACCCTGTCACAGGCAATTCCATTCCTGGATCTATACCCTGAAGACACTCACACACGAGGGGACTAAAGGAAGTGTACAAGATATTTGAAGCCTCACAGTAGCCAAGAACTGGAAATCAACCAAATGTCCATTAATACATACATTACAGGTAGTAAATTCATACAACGGAATGCCACTTTACATTAACAAAAATTCAGAAACCTAATGACACACAACTATTATACGTGGGTGAATCATGCAAAGACAATGTTGCACAGAGGATGCAAAACACAACAGAACACCTGGTGGGATTGCACTTTGTATAAAGTTCAAGAACAGATAAAACTAAATGATACATTGCTTAGAAATGCATATACAGGGGGTACAGCTAGGAAGAAAACTCAGAAGCAATTCCCAGAAAAGCCAAACATGTTGGGGGCGTGGAATGCAAGCTGCTGGGACATGGTGGGACCTGGGGAGGAGAGGTAAGAGAAAGTGGGCCACGAGAGACCACCTAGGAATTTTGAGCCGCAGTCTGACAGGTGCGAGCTGTGTGTTACAAAGATCATGTCTGGCCGTGAGATGGAACATGGCTTAGATGGAGTCACAAGTAGAGTCAGAGAAGTGGTTAGGAGGGTCAGAAGGGGGCCAGCTCTACACCAGTGGCACAATAGATAAGCTGAGGAGGACAGGGCGAGAGGGAGGACTATGGCACGACAGCCTGTGGGATGATCAGATAGATATACCTCACACCGTTAGCTGCACCTGGGCTGTAAGCTCAGGAAGAGCTGGGCTGGCGGGGACGAGGGGGCGAGCATTTATCACCTGTGATGGAATTTATGCCATAGAGAGGATGTTTCAGTAAGACTGGTCAAAGGAAAAAGAAGGGCCAAACCTAGAGTCCTGGAGGGCGCCACTGCCAACGGGATACCATACAAAGATGAGCCCACAAAGGAAATTGAAACCGAGCAGCCGCAGGGGGCAGAAAACAATGAAGAGAGGAAATCTGAAAAAGTTAGATGTCTTAAGGCGGGGGAAACTTGGCCTTGGACTCAGAACGACCGGAGTTCAAATCCTCACACCAACTTTTGTAGCCAGATGATCACACATAAGCTTGCTCAACTCTCTAAACCAGATTTCTTAACTTTATTGTGGTGATGTCTACCTTTTGTCAGAATGAAGGTTACAGACACTGTATGTAGCCACAGTACACTGTATGTTGTACACAATGTAAATTGTAGCTATTATCACTACACATGTGCCACAGAAGCCAAGGAAAGAGAGTTTCGAGGAGTGTGAAATGCCTCTGAGAAGTCCAGTAAGATAAAGACTGAAATGAGACAACTCCAACACTTGAGACCTTGGCAAGAACAATTTTAAGAACGTCGTGAAGATAGAAGTCGGATTGCAAAGGGTTGAGTAGTGAGTCATGAGGACGTAAGAGATTGAATTGGACTGCCTTTCTAGAACTTGGGCAGTAAAAAGAAAGAGGGCTATGGGTCCACAGTTAGACTGGGGACCATGGCAGACTTGGGGCTTGGAGAGTTTTGTTTGTTTGCTAAGATATGGAGGGGGCTTAAGTATATTTAGATGCAGTACTGACAAAAATAGGCTAAAAAGGAGTGGGAGGTAGAATATGGGGGAAAAGGTTAATGACAATGCAAGGTCATTGAGAAATCGGGAGAATATTAGCACAGGTGATTATATTAGCCCTAGGTGGGGAGAGGTCCTTTCCTCAGGACGGGGACAGGATTCGGGAGTGGGACCAAGAGATAATTCGCTGGGTGGGCAGTAGCTCCACAAATGATAGCTTTTCTGTTTCATTATTTTCCCATTATTTTGGAAACATAAGGTAACACATGTTGTAGCAGATCTGAAAAGCATAGAAAGGTCTAAAGGAACGAAAACCCACTGCTTATATATCTCAGTCCAGTTTTGTTCCTTTTTTCTAGGCCTTTTTCCTTCGAGAACTGATAACATGCTGTCAATTCTTTTTTACACATAGCTTTGGTTTTTGTTTTCTGCTGTATAGTTGAAAATAAAAGTAACGCGTGGAGGGAAGGGATATTGAGAAATTTCAATACGGCCAAGGCTTGGGATAACCATCGTAGGCAAGTGAAGAGAGCACTAAATAAAGATCTGGAATAGGCTTGGCACATGGGGAGTCCTGCGGGTCCAGCTGATGCTAGATTTCAGGAGCACCATTTTCAATGCGCATGGTGGGAAGGCTCGCTCTGGCATGTTAAACCACCCACATAAAGGAGAGAGAAGGAGGGACAGATTTATCTAAAATCTGAGCTCTGACTGGCAACCAGTGTTCATCTTGTAATCCCCACCGCAGCCCTGATTTTATAAAACAGGTAATGGTCCTTGTACAGATGAGGTCATGGATGGCTCCGAGCAGGGACTGGCCCAACAGTGAACACAAGGGAGGGAGAACCTGCATGAAAACTGAGATTTCTGATTCCCAGCCCACCTCTGTCCACATCACCATGGTGGCCTCTTAGAACCAACAGGTCCCCGGGATCTTTTAGGTAAATGGACCAGAGCTCTGGGCTTATGGGAGCTGGTTAATAAAGTGTCCTCCTCATTACAGAAAAGTACACACGCTGTCAGCATGATTAAATAGGCAAAGCTTTACCTTTAGAATGAAAATGCTCCATTAACAAAATTCCTATTTCAACTGAACAATTTATGGAGTGACGCCAGGCCCCCAGGATAACAACAAAACAAATCCCCACACTCAGCGCTCAGTCATAACTTAAAAGCACTATAATTTATTTGACTATGCACCCTAATTAGCATTCAGCTCTCAAAAACAGGAAATGTGTCATCAGTAAACATGAGGTTACAACAGAGTGAAGACCCATTAAAATTTCCTCCTGATGTCGCCCATCACTTAAATCTCGCTGCATTGTGAAAACAGAAAGGTTTTGACAATTCATCCATGGTCCATGCTCATCTGTATATCACTCCGCTCTCCCGCTTAAGTTGAGAGACTCAAACGTTTCCTTGTTGGAATTCTAGGCCTATGGGATGAGTAGGGACGATTTGGTGCTGGGGAACAACGATAGGGCTTTCTCACTGCCCCTTCTCAAGTCTGGGAAGCAGCTTTGGTAGTTAGCTCTTGGAGAACGTGGAGAGCCTGGGAGTCAGTGTCTCCACCTACCCCCACCCCCCAATGCCGCCACCTAGGCCCCCAAACTCCCCCACTGTCGGGTGGGAGAGGGAACTAATTATGTATGATGGGCTCTCCCATCAGAGGCTGCCTCGCTCAAATTCACCTCACTGACCGGTGCTCTCCTTCCCTTCCCTCTGTCCCCAGACCCCACAGAGCCAGCGCCCCCTCCCAACTGCCTCTGCCCCCCCAAGCCTCTGCAGCTGATCCAGCTCCTGCCCTAGAGGGGCGGTTTTCTGCTCCTCGCGCCCTCTAGTGGCCTAGATGTGAGGAGGGCGGGTGGGGGTGGGGACTGGAGCGCGATGCCCAAGGCCATCTACTCAGCTGATGCCCAAGGACACCTCTGGTACCAGCAGGAGGTGGAGAGAGAGGGGACCAAGCTTGGAAAGATGGCAATACCTGGACCAAGCCCAGAGGCCCACCTAGGATACAGGTAGTCGAGGAAAGAAGCCAACGCAACTACAGATGTCTGAGATGCCAACCAAGGTTAAGTGAATGGGCGGTGTGGACAGAGTCCCTGAGTTTGAATCTCAGCTCTGCCACCTACAGCTGCATCTCCTCGGGTAAGTTTCTGAACATACCCAGGCCTCCAATTTTCTCATCTGTAAAATGTGCGTAAGAACAGTATCTTCCTCATCGGACTGTTAGGATTAGGTCATGTTAAGACAGGAAGCGCTTAAAACAGTGTCTGACCCGTAGTAGACACTCAATCAATGTCAGCAATTACCATCCTAACAAGCATGAACATCAGTAGTATCTCCCTCATATTAATGAGTTTAATATTTGCACAACTAAATATATTAGAATTATAATTAGGCAAATTTCTATATGCTATTTAATCTATAGGATTGAATTTGAGCTACAACTAATGGCCTAACATAAGCCTCTATGTTCTTTAACATAAACACTTTTGTTTGATATTTAGCTACTGTGGTCTTGAATACGTAAACCTCTGTTAGCTACTTAGAACTGCGTGTATATATTTGAGTCTAAAGAAATCATTGCATTAATTAAGGGAATCCTGCTTTGTTCATAAAAGGTCTGAGCACATCCCACTGCTTTCCAGTTGGAAATTTTTGTTT